CTTACGTTCACTAGATGAATATATTTCCTACCTTCTTTTTGAGTGAGACCACTAGATTCCGTGTATTATGCGAGATCTGAGTGCTTCCGTTCTCCCTGGCATTTGCACTCTAAGTTCCCATACTGACCGACCCGGCCAATGCACCATTTTCCGTATACATATGCATTAGATTTTTTTCGAACCGTATTAGCTCACTAGATATATATATTTCCCACCTTCTGATCGAGTGAGACCGCTAGATTCCCTTTAGTTTTTTAGAAATGAGCGCTTCCGTTCTCCTTGGCCCTAGTTGCACTATAAGTGCGAAATGCCGTCCAGACTGGCCGATGCACAATTTTCTCTACACATGTGCGTGAGTTACCTTTCAAACCCTTACGTTCACTAGATGAATATATTTCCTACTTTCTATTTGAGTGAGACCACTTGATTCCGTGTACTATGCGAGATCTGAGCGCTTCCGTTCTCCCTGGCATTTGCATTTGAAGTTCTGGTACTGACCGACCTAGCCAATGCACCATTTTCTCTATACATGTGCGTTGAATACATTTCAAACCTTTTTAGCTGACTAGATTTATATATTTCCCACCTTCTGATCGAGTGAGACCGTTAGATTCTTTCTACTTTTTTGAGAAACGAGCGTTTCCGTTCTCCCTGGCCCCACCTGCACTATGGGTGCGAAATGCCGGCCAGACTGGCCGATGCACCATTTTCTCTACACATGTGCGTTAGTTACCTTTCAAACCCTTACGTTCACTAGATGAATATATTTCCTACCTTATATTTGAGTGAGACCACTAGATTCCGTGTATTATGCGAGATCTGAGCGGTTCCGTTCTCCCAGGCATCTGCACTTTAAGTTCCCATACTGACCGACCTGGCCAATGCACCACTTTCCATATACATATACATTAGATTCCTTCCGAACTTTATTAGATCACTAGATTTATATCTTTCCCACCTTCTAATCAAGTGAGACCGCTAGATTCCCTCTACTTTTTGAGAAATGGGCGTTTTCGTTCTCCTTGGCCCTAGTTGCACTATAAGTGCGAAATGCCGGCGAGACAGGCCGATGCACAATTTTCTCTACACATGTGCGTTAGTTACCTTTCAAACCCATACGTTCACTAGATGAATATATTTCCTACTTTCTATTTGAGTTAGACCACTTGATTCCGTGTACTATGCGAGATCTGAGCGCTTCCGTTCTCCCTGGTATTTGCATTTTAAGTTCTAATACTGACCGACCTGGCCAATGCACCATTTTCTCTATACATGTGCGTTGAATACATTTCAAACCTTTTTAGCTGACTAGATTTATATATTTCCCACCTTCTGATCGAGTGAGACCGTTAGATTCTTCCTACTTTTTTGAGAAACGAGCGTTTCCGTTCTCCCTGTCCCCACCTGCACTATGGGTGCGAAATGCGGGCCAGACTCGCCAATGCACCATTTTCTCTACACATGTGCGTTAGTTACCTTTCAAACCGTTACGTTCACTAGATGAATATATTTCCTATCTTCTATTTGAGTGAGACCACTAGATTCCATGCATTATGCGAGATCTGAGCGGTTCCGTTCTCCCAGGCATTTGCACTCTAAGTTCCCATACTGACCGACCTAGCCAATGCACCACTTTCCATATACATATGCATTAGATTCCTTCCGAACCTTATTAGCTCACTAGATTTATATATTCCCACCTTCTGATCAAGTGAGACCGCTAGATTCCCTTTACTTTTTGTGAAATGAGCGTTTCCGTTCTCCTTGGCCCTACTTGCACCATAAGTGCGAAATGCCGGCCAGACTGGCCGATGCACCATTTTCTCTACACATGTGCGTTAGTTACCTTTCAAACCCTTACGTTCACTAGATGAATTTATTTTCTACCTTCTACTTGATTGAGACCACTAGATTCCTTGTACTATGCGAGATCTGAGCGCTTCCGTTCTCCCTGGCATTTGCACTCTAAGTTCCCATACTGACCGACCTGGCCAATGCACCATTTTCCATATACATATGCATTAGATTCCTTTCAAACCTTATTAGCTCACTATATTTATATATTTCCCACCTTCTGATCGAGTGAGACCGCTAGATTCCCTTTACTTTTTGAGAAACGAGCGTTTCCGTTCTCCTTGGCCCTACTTGCACTATAAGTGCGAAATGCCGGCCAGACTGGCCGATGCACCATTTTCTCTACACATGTGCGTTAGTTACCTTTCAAACCCTTACGTTCACTAGATGAATATATTTCCTACCTTCTATTTGAGTGAGCCCACTAGATTCCGTGTACTATGCGAGATCTGAGCGCTTCCGTTCTCCCTGGCATTTGCACTCTAAGTTTCCATACTGACCCACCTGGCCAATGGACCATTTTCCATATACATATGCATTAGATTCCTTTCGAACCTTATTAGCTCAGTAGATTTTTATATTTCCCACCTTCTGATCGAGTGAGACCGCTAGATTCCCTCTACTTTTTGAGAAATGAGCGCTTCCGTTCTCCTTGGCCCTAGTTGCACTATAAGTGCGAAATGCCGGCCAGACTGGCTGATGCACAATTTTCTCTACACATGTGCGTTAGTTACCTTTCAAACCCTTACGTTCACTAGATGAATATATTTCCTACTTTCTTTTTGAGTGAGACCACTTAATTCCGTGTACTATGCGAGATCTGAGCGCTTCCGTTCTCCGTGGCATTTGCATTTTAAGTTCTGATACTGACCAACCTGGCCAATGCACAATTTTCTCTATACATGTGGGTTGAATACATTTCAAACCTTTTTAGCTGACTAGATTTATATATTTCCCGCGTTCTGATCGAGTGAGACTGTTAGATTCCGCCTTCTGCTTTTTTGAGAAACCAGCGTTTCCGTTCTCCCTGGCCCCACCTGCACTATGAGTGCGAAATGCCGGCCAGACTGGCCGATGCACCATTTTCTCTACACATGTGCGTTAGTTACCTTTCAAACCATTACGTTCACTAGATGAATATATTTCCTACCTTATATTTGATTGAGACCACTAGATTTCGTGTATTATGCGAGATCTGAGCGGTTCCGTTCTCCCAGGCATTTGCACTCTCAGTTCCCATACTGACCGACCTGGCCAATGCTCCACTTTCCATATACATATGCATTAGATTCGTTCCCAACCTTATTAGCTCACTAGATTTATATATTTCCCACCTTCTGATCGAGTGAGACCGCTAGATTCCCTTTACTTTTTGAGAAATGAGCGTTTCCGTTCTCCTTGGCCCTACTTGCACTATAATTGCGAAATGCCGGCCAGACTGGCCGATGCACCATTTTCTCTACCCATGTGCGTTAGTTACCTTTCAAACCCTTACATTCACTAGATGAATATATTTCCTACTTTCTATTTGAGTGAGACCACTTGAGTGCGTGTACTATGCGAGATCTGAGCGCTTCCGTTCTCCCTGGCATTTGCATTTTAAGTTCCGATACTGACCGACCTGGCCAATGCACCATTTTCTCTATACATTGTCAGATTATTAAATCTGATGCATGTTTGTAGGCTATAGTGGGGTAGCACATATGGGGTACAGCTTTCTAGGGTTGTATTTGTACCCAACTCTGACTTAGTCATTTCCATTCCTGTTTACCTATTCTCACATAGTATAGAGCGGGTCCCTCTTAAGGACCGTTTTTTTTTAGGGCCCACCCACGAATTACTCTCTGCCCGGAGCGCGCCCTACTCTCCCCGAGGCGCGCTCCCCCTTAGTGCGTTTCGCGCTGCACTTGTGGGCCCCCGCGAGTCGCGCGCGCAAATTTTTTTTTAGCGCGCGCGGCTCGGGCCCACGTCGCGCGGGCTCTACGGCCGCGCCGCGCCGCCCTCTCGGCCCGGCTGCGCCCCGCCGCCCTCGAACCGGCCACGCGGCCGCTTCGTCGCGGCCGCGGGCCCCGCTTTTGACGGCCCCGCCGTTCGTTTTTTACGGCCCCGCCGTCCCCTTTTTTGACGGCCCGCGGCTGCCTCAGCCGGCCCCGCCGTTTCCTGTCAGGGCCCCGCCGTCCCCTCTCCCGGCCCCGCCGCTGCACCTTCCCGGCCCGCCGCTGAGCCCTGACGGCCCCGCCGCTGCACCTTCACGGCCCGCCGCTGAGCCCCGACGGCCCCGCCGCTGCACCTTTTGACGGCCCGCCGCTGCACCCTGACGGCCCGCCACTGCACCTGTCCCGGCCCCGCCGGCTTCTGTCCCGGCCCTGCCGGCGCACCTCTGTTGGCCCCGCCACTGCACACCCGGCCCCGCCGTCCCCTATCCCGGCCCGCCGCTGCACCTGTCCCGGCCCGCCGCTGCACCTGTCCCGGCCCGCCGCTGCAACTTTCCCGGCCCGCCACTGCACCTGTCCCGGCCCCGCCGGCCTCTGTCCCGGCCCGCCGCTGCACCCATACCCGGCCCCGCCGCCCACTGACGGCCCCGCCGTCTCTTATCCCGGCCCCGCCGCTGCACCTTGACGGCCCCGCCGTCCCCTGTCCCGGCCCCGCCGCTGCACCCTGACGGCCCCGCCGTCCCTTATCCCGGCCCTGCCGCTGCACCTTGACGGCCCCGCCACTACACAGCAGCAGGGCCACCCGGGAGCAGCCGGACCGCCCAGCAGCAGCCGGACCGCCCAGCAGCAGCCGAGCCGCCCAGCAGCAGCCGAGCCGCCCAGTAGCAGCCGAGCCGCCCCGCAGCAGCCGAGCCGCCCAGCCGCAGCCGAGCCGCCCAGCAGCAGCCGAGCCGCCCCGCCGCAGCCGAGCCGCCCAGCAGCAGCCGAGCCGCCCAGCCGCAGCCGAGCCGCCCAGCAGCAGCCGGACCGCCCAGCAGCGGCCGAGCCGCCCTACGCCGAGCCGCCCGGGAGCCGAGCCGCTGTGCACCCGAGCTACCCGGTAGCCGAGCCGCCTTTCTGCAGAGCTGCACGACCTGCCCTGCCTGGTGAGCACAGTCCCTCTGTCACTGCGCCCTCTTTCCCTACTGCTTGCACTGCTTCACTGTCGTCGCCATGGCTACCCCTAGTGTCCTAGTCTTTGACGCCGAGGGTCGCGCCATTAACTTTGAGGTCTGGCTAGACGACCTGCAGCTGTTCTTACAGTGCGACAGAGCTGACGGCCTTTCTCTCTTTGACCTCACCTCTGGCGCCTCTCCTGCTCCTGCTGCCGATGCTGATCCCACTGTTCGCTCTCAGTGGGCCACCCGCGATGCTGCTGCACGTCTTGCTGTGCGTCGCCACCTCCCTACCTCTGAGCGTGCGCACTTTAGTCAGTACAAGAGTGCTCAGACCTTGTACGACGCTGTCGTTGCGCGCTACTCCTCCCCTGCCACTGCTGCACTGAGCCGTCTCATGCTTCCCTACCTCTTTCCTGACCTCTCTGCCTTTCCCACTGTTGCTGACCTCATTACGCACCTCCGCACTAGTGACACTCGCTACCGCGCCGCCCTTCCTGCTGAGTTCTGCACTAAGAACCCCCCCCCCCCATGTACATCACTCTCTACTACGTAGTCGCACGCCTCCCTGACTCCCTTCGTGTAGTCAGGGACCACTTTCTAGCAGTCTGTCCCACCACTCTCACCGTCGACCTCCTCGAGAAGGCCCTCCTCTCAGCTGAGAAGAGCATAGTTGCTGTAGGGGCTTCTCGTGGTGACCCTCGCACCCCCATCTTTGAGGGGTGCTCTCCTTCCCCCTTGCTGCCCTCTGTTGCCTCTGCTGCTGCTGCCGACCTGCTTGGTCTTGAGTCGGTCGGCGCGGCGTCTGCCCCTAGTGGGAGACGTCGCTCCAGCAAGGGCAAGGGGGGCAAGGGCGCGGGTGGAGCTGGAGGGAGCGGTGGAGGTGGCGGCGGTGGCGGCGGCGGGAGTGGGAGTGGCGGCGGGAGTAATGGAGGTGGTGGTGGTGGTGGCAGCAGCGGCGGAGACGGTGGTGGTGGCGGCGGCGGTGGTGGAGGTGGCAGCGGCGGAGGTGGAGGCGGCGGAGGTGGAGGCGGTGGAGGCGGTGGAGGCGGCGGCGGAGGAGCAGGAGGTGGTGGAGGGAGCGGAGCTGGTCGGGGTGGTACCCAGCAGCGTAGCGGCGGTGGTGGTGGCCAGCGCTCGCAGCGGCAGCAGCAGCAGCGCTCACGGGACATCCCTCCGCCCCAGCAGCTTCGTGAGTGGTACGCTGGGCGTCTGAGGGGTGGGGGGTACTGGTCCCTGCACCTACGTTCTTCGTTTCGGCGACCGCGCGGGTGAGCAGTGTGGGGGTGCCCACGCCACCCTGCGCTGCTTTGGCCGCCTGACGGACGCTTGGCGTCAGCAGTTCCCCGGTGCTAGTGAGATCCCTCGTTGGGATGAGCTCCTTAGGGCTGGTGTAGCGATCTTTGATCTTGATTTTGATGCTATCCTTGCTGCTATGTATGCTGTGACTTATAGTGAGGAGAATGAGGGTTACCGGTGTTTCCAGCCCGACCCGGGCATTGGTACTGCTGCGCTAGGTGCTTGTGAGGCTGCTGCTCTAGGTGCCAGTGCGTCTGCGCTCTCAGGTACTGGTGAGACTGCGCTTTCAGGTACTGAGTCGCCCTCGTCCTCCCTCACTTTCACACTTGACTCCGGAGCTTCTCGCTCCTTCTTCCGAGACCGCACTACCCTTACGCCTCTTGGCCGGCCGGTTGCGGTCTCCCTTGCTGACCCCTCTGGGGGTCCTGTCCTGTCTCACTTCTCCACTGTCCTCCCGTGTCCGGCTGCCCCTTCAGGCACCCTGTCTGGTCTGTACCTTCCCTCGTTCTCCACGAACTTGGTGAGTGGTGCGGCCCTACAGGATGAGGGGTTCACCAGTTCACTCCTGCGAGTCAGCGGGTGACCCACTGCACGGACGCGCGCACAGGCCGACACCTGGCCACCTTCTCGCGTCGGCCGGGGTCGAGTCTCTACACCCTGACCACTTCGTCTCCTCCTGTTCCTGTGTCAGGTCAGGTAGCTGCGTCAGGTCAGGTGTTTGCTGCTGCGTCCCGGTCAGGTCCTGAGTCTGCCCCCTGTTCTTGCCGCCTCCTGTCTCACGAGACTCTTCTGTGGCACCACCGTCTTGGCCACCCCTCCTTGCCCCGTCTTCGGAGCATGGCGTCCCGTGTCCTTGTCTCTGGTCTTCCCCAGTCTCTCCCTCCTCTCCCCTCCGGGCCAGGACCTTCCTGTGTCCCCTGTGTCGAGGGTCGCCTCCGAGCTACTCCTCACTCCTCCCACTTCCCCCCGACAGAGGCTCCCCTGCAGACGCTTCACATGGATGTGTGGGGCCCAGCCCCCGTCCGTGGGCAGGGTCACGAGCGCTACTTCCTGTTGGTGGTTGACGACTACTCGCGTTACACCACAGTCCTCCCCTTGCGCAGCAAAGGTGCGGTCACTGAGGTGCTGATCGACTGGATCCGCGAGGCTCGTCTCCAGCTCAGGCAGAGATTCAGCTCGGACTTTCCTGTTCTGCGTCTGCACTCAGACAGAGGCGGAGAGTTCTCCTCTCGCCTTCTGCGAGACTACTGTCGCGCACGGGGGATCCGCCAGACCTGTACACTTCCAGACTCTCCACAGCAAAATGGGATTGCTGAGCGCCGCATTGGCATGGTCATGGATGTCGCTCGTACGTCCATGATGCATGCGGCTGCCCCCCATTTTCTGTGGCCGTTTGCGGTGAGGTACGCGGCGCATCAGCTCAACCTTCACCCCCGGGTCTCTAGGCCTGCGATGTCCCCAGCCTTGCTGTGGACGGGGAAGGTTGGCGATGCGTCTGCGTTCCGTGTCTGGGGATCTCGGGCGTTTGTCCGCGACTTGTCTGCGGACAAGCTGTCCCCTCGTGCTGCTCCCTGTGTCTTCCTTGGCTTCCCCACTGACGCCCCCAGGGTGGCAGTTTTACCACCCCTCCTCTCGTCGTGTTCTGTCCTCCCAGGACGTCACGTTCGACGAGTCAGTCCCCTTCTACCGTCTCTTCCCCTACCGTACCTCCCTCCCCCCCCCCCCCCTCCCCCGGACTTCCTGGTGCCGGCTCCTCCCCAGGTAGACCCCCTTCCCCCTCAGGTTCCTGCCCCCTCAGGTGTGTCCCAGGTAGACGCCGCTGACCCGGTCGAGGTTACTGGTGACTCTGGTGCTGCTGCGGGTGCTGAGCCTAGGGGTGCTGACTCTGGGGGTGCTGTGCGCGGGGGTGGTGAGCCTGAGTGTGCTGGGCCTGGGGGTGCTACTGCGGAGAGTGCGGAGCCTGGGGGTGCTGAGCCGGGGGGTGCTGTGCCTGGAGGTGCTGGGTCTGGGGGTGCTACGTCGAGAGCTGCTGAGCCTGGGGGTGCTGAGCTGGGAGCTGCTGAGCCTGGGGGTGCTGCGTCTAGAGCTGCTGAGCCTGGGGTTTCTCCTGCTGCGCCTCGCCGGGAGCCCCTCTCTCCACAGGAGCTGCGCGAGTGGTTCGCTCGCCGCTGGAGACGTGCTGCTGAGTCTGGCGGTGCTGTTGGAGCTGGAGCTGGTGCTTCTGCGACCGTCGAGGGTGCTGGTGCTGCCAGTCCCGGAGCTGCTGGACCTGCGGGTCCTCCTGAAGCTAGAGCTGCTGGGGCCGTTGGTGCTGAGACTACTGCTGTTGGTCCTGCCGCTGGAGGAGTGGGTGATGCTGGTGCTGTTGCTGAGGGTGCTGGTGCTGTCCCTGCTGCGTCTGGAGCTGCCGCGCGGCCTCGGCCGTACTTCGTCCCGCTTCTGCAGCAGGTTCTTGGTCTTTCTCCTCCAGTAGAGGGTCCACCGCCTGTCCAGTCGCAGTCCCTGCTGGAGCCTTCCTCTCCACTGCCTGCTCCCTCTCCTTACACTGGTCCTACTGGAGGTCTTGCTGAGCGTCGTGAGCCTGCGTCTCGTCCCGCGTCGCCTGTTCGTGCTGCATGCGCTAGTGGTCGCAGTTCGCGTCAGCGTCCTCCTCCTGTCCCTGGCACGCACCGGATGTCTCTGCGTCCGTCCACTGCTCCTCTGCGTGCCCCTTTGCCTTCTCCTCCTGAGTCCTCTCTTCCTGCGCTTGCCGACCCTGAGTCGGACTCTCTTCGTGCTGCCAGTCCTACTGTCACGCGTCTACTTGCTATTGTCGTCACTGACCCCTCTTTTGAGTCCAGTGCTGCGTCTGCTCTTGTCGCTGAGCTTGTCGACTTTGCTGCTCGCTGTCGTCTAGACTACGCTGCTAGTCTTGTTGCTGAGTCTGCGTCTGTCTGTCCTCCGTCCGTCGGGGGGTGAGTGTGCTCTTGGCACGGACGTCCTAGAGGACAGGCAGGAGGAGCTACAGTGTCTAGCGGCTGTTTCACCTCATCTCGCGTCTGTACTGCTTGCCCCTGAGGGAGACCCGGATGCACTAGACATCCCGACTCCACGTTGTTACGCGGAGGCCGTAGAGGGTCCCTACTCCTCTAAGTGGCAGGCAGCTATGGATGCAGAGATGGCTTCCTGGAAGTCCACAGGCACCTACGTTGAACGCGGTTCCCCCTCCTGGGGCGAACATTGTCAGTGGCATGTGGATCTTCAGGGTGAAGCGGCCGCCTGGCTCTCCACCTGTCTTCAAGGCGCGGTACGTTGCTCGTGGCTTCAGTCAGCGGCAGGGAGTTGACTACTTTCAGACCGTCTCTCCCACCCCGAAGATGACCACTCTTTGGGTGCTGCTGCACATAGCCGCTCAGCGCGACTACGAGCTTCACTCTCTCGACTTCAGCACTGCGTTCCTGCAGGGTAGCCTGCACGAGGAGATCTGGCTGCGCCGTCCGCCTGGCTTCACTGGGACTTTCCCTCCTGGCACCCAGTGGAGCCTCCCGACGGCCAGTCTACAGTCTCCGCCAGGCACCGCGTGAGTGGCACGACACACTGAGGACTACGCTTGCGGCTCTTGGGTTTGCTCCTTCTACTGCTGACCCGTCGCTGTTTCTGCGCACCGACACTTCCCTGCCGCCGTTCTACATCCTCGTGTACGTCGACGACTTGGTCTTTGCCACAGCGGACACTGCTGGACTCGCCTACGTGAAGTCCGAGCTGCTGAAGAGACACACGTGCACAGACCTGGGTGAACTGCGCAGCTACCTTGGCTTGCAGATCACTCGGGACAGAGCACGCCGCACCATTACCTTGACTCAGTCACACATGGTGCAGCAGGTCCTTCAGCGCTTCGGCTTCACGTACTCCTCGCCTCAGGCCACTCCTCTGCCTACTCGCCACTCACTCTCAGCTCTGCCTTCGGATGAGTCCGTAGAGTCGAGTGGTCCGTATGCAGAGCTTGTTGGCTGCCTCATGTACCTGATGACCTGCACACGACCTGACCTTGCATACCCTCTGAGCATTCTTGCACGCTATGTTGCTCCTGGCAGACACCGACCAGAGCACATGGTTGCAGCAAAGAGGGTATTGCGCTACCTGTGCAGTACGTCGGGCATGGGGCTAGTGCTTGGAGGGCGCAGTCCAGTGGTCCTTACAGGCCACGCGGACGCTTCTTGGGCTGACGACCAGCTACGCAGCGGTCGTCACAGGGTTACACCTTCAGCCTTGGTTCCGGCTCTGTCTCTTGGCGGTCTACTCGCTCGTCTTCGGTTCTCGGCTCCAGTTGTGAGGCTGAGATCTACGCCGGGGCCATGGCTGCACAGGAGCTTCGCTGGCTCACCTACCTGCTGACTGACCTTGGAGAGCCGCCTCGTTCTCCTCCAGTGCTGTACGTAGACAACAAGGCCATGCTGGCCTTGTGTCGAGAGCAGCGCTTGGAGCACAGAACGAAGCACATTGCTCTCCGCTACTTCCTTGCTCGTGAGCTGCAGCAGCGTGGTCAGTTGCGACTTGCGTACGTGGCCTCTGAGGCCAACACTGCTGATGTGTTCACCAAGGCACTCGCGCCTTGTGACCATCAGCGCTTTTGCACCCAGCTGGGTCTTTGTGCCTGTCTTGCCTCACTTGCTCTCCTCTTGACTTTACTTGTACTGTGACATATATAATACCTGCTCCTGATTGTCTAGTTTTATATATATGCCTGTACTCTTGCATGTGAACTGGCCTCTGGCCCTGCTCTTGTGCTCGGGACTGTGTGGTGACTTTGTGATCCACCCTGAGCTTGCTTTGCTTTGCTTGACTGGTTTTGTGACCCCTTGTTCTCCCCCACTTTGCCTATGGGGGTGTGTCAGATTATTAT